CCCCAAAACCCCAAAACCCCAAAACCCCTTCTTAATAGGGAAAAGTTGAAATATTAAAAGAAACCCAAAGAAGTTACCCTAAATATAGGAAACTTGAATAAGAATACTTGTCCCACTTTTTTTCTATATTCTTAAAAATTCAATTCAAAGATCTCGAAATTTCTCAGCTTCTGGTAGTCCAACCGTCTTTAAGATGAGCACTCATCAGCCATATCTGACTGAGCATGGATGTTCTTCATCTCAGAAACATAAATTTTCAGGTTAACATTGGGATATCTACAAATTGATGGACTCTTTAGTACTCCAAATACGGATTTCTCAATGAGCATCTGCTTTACATGTTCACATTTGATAGCTTTGAACTATTTGAAGGAACTTTAAATGTAATTCTCAGTCTTGAAATGTAGGCTGGCATTGATAACGCAGGCATTCTTATTGGCGGAAATCAATTGGGAGGCATTTATAATTTCTTACAAAATGATCTTGTCACGTCTAGAAATAACAAAAAATTATGCTTGCCATAAGCTTCATTGCAATAATCTCACTTCTTTCATTAATAAGAACTCGTTAAATTAAATTAAACAGAAGGATGGGACAGAATAAGAATGAGTAGTGAAAATAGAATAGTTAATTCAAAAATTCACAGTCAAGTGATTGGAGAGAACTCTAGAACAGGTTTTATAGTGCCTTCACCGATAACTCCTCAGCATAGATTAGGGTCTAGGTTTTTTCTTTAAACAGTTATATACTGAATAGTATCTCTTTTAGAGATGATGAATCAATTCTTCTTGTACCTTCTTCAAACTTATGCATGAATTGTAAGTGTATTATGGTAGATTTATAGTGAAATGTGCCTTTGAATAATCCTCTTCATCTAACTTTATTCTTTTAGATATGCGAACTTGATATAATGAAAACTTGGAACCTTCCAATGTTGAAGAATGAGAAGATGGCAATAGCATTAATGGGGATGGACGAAATGAAGGGTGCATGTTTGAAACAAATTCATGCTCCCTAAATCCTATTGATTGTTTTAACACGAATTGAGGAGATAGGATAAGAGGCTTGCTTGAGCAATGAGACGATGGAAACAACAATAGTTCAGATAGTTGTGCATCAGATTGAGCACAAGAGTCTTACTGGACTTGTCAAAGAGAAAACACTACACACCCTGATCAATGCATTGAAAACTGTAGAAATGGAAGAAGATTTAATTCTTTATCTACATACTGTGATGATAGCAATAATATACCCGGAGATGAATGATCATCCATTTGAACAGTAGAATCTGGCAATATTTGATCCGGAGGATCTTCAGCAGACAAAGATATCTGAGAAAAGTATTGAGGAAATGGAAAAATTCATTTAGATGAAGTTTGCGATGATTGAAATTTTGATTCAAAAGATCGATGAAATTCAGAATGAAGTGTTGAAGATGGCTGGATATGTAATGGAGGGAGTCAAAATTCTTCAAGCATTTGCAGGCTGAAGTGAACAGTAAATATTGAGAGATTTGCGATTTAGATAATAATACTAAATGGTCAACTTGAAATCAAGAGTATGAACTGGTAAAAACTCAGCATGAAGATATGTTAAAGTCTCTGGATCTGCTCAAGCAATGTCTTCAGGAGCAAGTGCAGCAGCAGGCATAGGTTCAGTAGTAGGAATAACGAGTTCACTACTAAATTTATCGACTCTTTGGTTGATTGCAAATCGGATTCAATTAATGCTACTACTTTTACTTGCAAATAGTTTGCTTCCATCTGATATAGTTGGCTATATTACTTATAATGGGGCTTTGTTATAATTCTTAATGCTGACCTTGCCTTTGAATTCATTTAGATTAAAAAATCTCAAACAAGCATTAATTTAGAAGATATGGGACTGGAATCTGGCAGTTTAATAAAGAATAACCAAGGGTTTCTATTTATGTTTATAATCACAGCATTAGTTCTTTTCCTAATCTGGTGTTGACCTAGAGAAGTAAAATATTCATCCACAAATTTAAAGAACAAATGAGCAAAATTATTTAAGTATTTATAGGGAATTTTTACTTTTAGAGCGTACATAAGAGCTTTCTTAGAAGCATACCAATTTATGTACATCTCTTCTTTCAGTGAGTTACTCTTGTTACAAAAATTTACCGTAATGAATCTTATCTCAGCTGAATTTTTTGCCTTAATTCTAACTGACTGACTAGTTCTGTTATTGTTATCAGTTATACAGGTATTTTCAAAAGAAAAGGAAGAAGGAGAACACGACAAGCTGGGTGAGTTTACTACTGGTTTAAAGGATAAGAAAAGTGGAATTTGCACACTTATTTTGATTTCAGGTGGGTGATGTTTTGTTCTTTCTTGATCTTGTTCAGAAAATCTTGAGCTATAACTCTTGTTGGATTTATGTTTCTTGCTTAATTTTAGTACACTTGTTATTTTACCTATCTAAGGCTAATGGATAGCAAGCTAAACAACATTATTGGATGAATTAACGAAGTCTTTTATCTCTATTTTGTGGGGTTTCATTTTAAATATAACTCTGAGGAATTATGGAAAGGATGACCAACTAGCTTGAATCTGCGGATGATGATGTCCAACTCTTTGATTATCATTAGAGATGACATGTTGGAAACAAACAGCCTGTTAAAGAAAAGATTCAAATCATCGAAGTTCCAAAGGTGAGACAAATGTTAAGCTTTAGCAAAAGAGAGAGAGTATAAATTTGGAGATAAGAATATATCTGCGAATGATATTTCTATTAATAGGGTTTCAAGCCAAATTACGGCACAACCATCTAATTCATTAGTCAGAACTCCATCCCATACTCTTTCAAGGAATAGAGCTATTATAGAAAGAATGAGAGGGAAGAAGTCTAAAATTGTGTCAGTGAATAATGGCTTACAAATCCCTCCTCTCTAATAATTTATCATTGTCTAAATTAATTAAAAACTCATCTTTAATTAATCTCAATTACGTTGAGATACTGCGGGGTTTTGGGGTTTTGGGGTTTTGGGGTTTTGGGGTTTTGGGG